TTGAGATTTTTCACCATTTTTACTAGCAGGTAATCACTTGAAGATGTGTCATTAACATATCATCAATGGTTTTTGTAGCTCTTTTACGACGCCAGGGGATGGATGCCAAGGGTCTTCTAAAAGCTGCTCCCGTGGAGGAAGAAGATCCACAAGAACAAATTGATTGCACAGGAAATTTGCAGGTATATTAATGGAATTGAACTTGAAATCTAACTAATGTTAAAGGGTATATGGTTTGAGGACAATTAAATTTGCATGTGTTTATATATATATCATATGCTGTCTGATTGGATTGAGTTGAGGTGAAGCACTTCTCTCCATGCTATGGACATATTTTATGCAGAATATCGGCCCCGATTTTAAGCCAGTTCACTGATGACAGCATTTGACTTGGCTACACAGGTTTGGCGTGTGAATGGCCAGGAAAAGGTTCTCCTTTCAGCAGAAACTCAGTCCAAATTTTACAGCGGGGACTGTTACATTTTTCAGTATTCTTATTCCGGAGATGAAAAAGAAGAGCATCTTATAGGAACATGGTTTGGAAAGCATAGCGTCGAGGTGATTAACCGTTCTTTAGCCATAATATCTTCACTAAATAGCTTTGGAAATGTTAGAATACTGCATTAGAGATCACCATTCTGTTTCAGCTTGCTTGCTGGCATTGGTTCTGGATGTTGGACTTTAATTTCTTTTAAATTTCCCCATGTAAATTCGTTGTGTTTGACTGTATGCGTATGCTTATCGGAATGCTTGTACTTTAGCAGTTACTTCATTGGCTTTTTTTTATGACAGAATGAAAGAGCTTCTGCTGTTTCTTTGGCAAGCAAAATAGTTGAATCGATGAAGTTCATGGTTGCCCAAGTAGTTTTCTTTTATCTACAACATTGTTGTTCTTCTGTTGACGCCGTCATTTCCATCCCTTTCTATTTTCATTCTCATGCTGTCTTATCTGATCATTAGGCTTGCTTTCACGAAGGAAGTGAACCTGTTCTGTTCTTCTTGATCTTCCAGAGCTTTATCGTGTTCAAGGTTCGAGGAATTTCGATATGTAACATTTACTTCAATGATGAGTACTCATACTTTATATTGAGGCTTTCTCTAATGACTGGTTCAATTATTAGTCTTAGTGATGGATACAAGAATTACATTGCTGAGAAGGGAATCCCAGATGATACATACACAGAAGAAGGTCTTGCACTTTTTCGAGTTCAGGGTTCTGGACCCGAGAATATGCAGACAATACAAGTTGAAGCAGTATGTCCCATATTCTGCCCTTTCTCATGTCTTCGATCTATCGCTTCGGTCTGTGGTTTGCATATATTATCCACCTTAGCAATGTAGATGGAACTTATGCTTTTCCTTTTCTTCTTCAGGTCGCATCCTCGTTGAACTCCTCCTACTGTTACATACTACATAGTGGTTCCACTGTCTTTACATGGGCTGGAAGCCTAACTTCCCCGGATGACCAGGACATTGTTGAGAGACAGCTCGATCTCATAAAGGTTTGATGTGTATTTTTAAGCAACTTCGTGATCAGAACTCGATGTTGGCTCGATAGAACGGGATGGAGCATTTATATGTACTGCATGTTGCGTATCACTTTAGAAACAGTTAGTTAAGTTTCCATTCAAGGTAATGTCTCTTTTTTCCTTTGTGTTGGTCTCATGATACCCTTTTAAATATCGCCAGCCGGAGTTGCAAACCAGGCCGCAAAAAGAGGGATTGGAGTTTGATCAGTTCTGGGAGTTGCTAGGAGGAAAAACTGAACACCCGAACCACAAGATCTCAACCGTACCCGAAGGTGATCCTCATTTGTTCTCGTGCACATTCTCGAAAGGTATTGCTTACTCTCCCCGGTGATTATAAGGTTTTATTCGAGAAACGTAAACCTTTACTTTCTATTTCCTTATCTTGCTTCGTTGTCATGGTTACTTGACGATTTCGCTCGAATCTGCAGGAGATCTGAAGGTGTGTATCTACTTTCAGATACTTGGTTTTTATCTGCTTCATCGATTTGAGCCGCCGAAGTTCTCTTGCAGGTAACGGAGATATATAACTTCATGCAGGACGATCTGATGACCGAAGACATATTCATCCTAGATTGTCATTCAAATATCTTTGTCTGGGTGGGACTAGCAATTGATGCCAAGAATAAATTGCAGGCCTTAACAATTGGTGAGGTAAGACCAACTGGTTTCATTGCAGGTAGAAGCTAGTGCCATTGCATTTACATGTTCCTAGTGCTTGGTGTGCTCTTACCTTTCCCTCTGTTGTTGCACAGAAATTTCTCGAGCATGATTTCCTATTCGAGAAAATATCTCGTGAAACTCCGATATACATAGTCATCGAAGGGAGCGAGCCGCCGTTCTTCACACGTTTTTTCACCTGGGACCCTACAAAGTCCAATGTATGTACCTTTGCTTGCTGCATGAAATGTGATCAATGGTTGTTTCAGTGTTTCTTATTTGCTTGCAGATGCATGGAAACTCATTTCAAAAGGAAACTTGACATAATGAAACATGGGAGCACACCAGTAACAGATGTAAGACTTTGTTGTACCATTTCGAATTATTTGAACACTTAAATGTGGGTGCATAGAAACCGAAGAGGAGAGTAACGGCATCATTAGGAGGAAGGTCATCTGGTAAGATGGAGAAACTGCAGTGTTCTCGAAGCGTGTCGTTCAGCCCCGATCGACCTCGTGTTCGGGGCAGGTCTCCGGCCTTCAATAAACTTGCGGCTACATTCGAGAATCCTAAAGACAGGAACCTTTCTACACCACCCCCGGTGGTCCGAAAACTCTACCCGAAATCAGGAACACAGGATTCGGGTACGAAGTTGGATTCAGGGACGAAGTTGGCAGCCATAGCAGAGTCTCTCATGGCTAGAACCGTGAAAGGTACGGTACGCATTTGCAAGTAGTTCACTTTGAACATCGATTTTTCATTCATCACTTAACCTTTTTAATCATACTATACACCATGCCGAAGCTCTCACGGAGTAGAATGTAGATCAATAATTTATTATTCAATCCTCAATCTTCCAACAAAAATCCACGTACGTTTTCTTTCATGATGATGCGAGACCGGCAGCATCCAAAACAACAGCGGAGACCAACACCAAGGAGAGTTCCAGGAGCATCAGAATAGAATCCCTGGCATTAAAAGGAGGTAAGGCTGACAATGGAGATGGAGAAGAAGATCAGGAAGGTGGTCCGATATACCCGTACGATCGTCTTAAAACAACATCAGAAGATCCCGTCACTGATATAGATGTGACCAAGCGAGAGGTATGGCTTCTAAGATCAATGGTATTGGCTTTTTCATTACATCCTTCTTCTGATCGTTGCTTGTCTTGTAGGCTTACATGTCATCGGCGGAGTTCATGGAGAATCTGGGAATGAAAAGGGCTGAATTCTATAAGTTTCCAAAGTGGAAGCAAAACAAGCTCAAAATGGTGGCTCAACTCTTCTAGTTCTGCTTCCTGCATTTGCTTCTTTTTGTTTCCAAGACCGGCAGGTGGAAGAAGACTTATACTAGAAGATTTTTGTTCCATTTCGAGTTATACTAGAATTCATATTTTAATTTACTTCTAATAAAAACTGGTCAAATTATTCTATTAGTCCATGTACCGTACTTAAATATCGGATTTACTTATGGGTAAACTACACATTTAGTACCTATACTATAAGTTTTGGTCTGTTTTAGCATATAACTTTCAATCGTTTCAAAATCATACCTAACTTTTAGTTTTCATTTTATTTTAGTACCTTCCGTTAAAAACTTAACGCATTTAGTACCTAAACTATCGATTTTGGTTTGTTTTAGTACCTAAACTTTCAATTTTTTTCCAAACTTAACATTAAATTCTGAACGGGATACTAAAATGAAATAAAAATTAAAGTTTTTAATGACGTGATACTAAATGAAACAAAAACTAAACTTTAGGTATGGTTTTGAAAAAAATGAAAGTTTAGGTGCTACAATGGACCAAAATTGATAGTTTAGGTACTAAATGCGTAATTTACCCTTTAATTATTACATTTTAATTTCTTCAATTTTAGTTCTTATATTTTACAAAATTTGAAATTGCAGTCCTTGTTGAAATATTAACCGTGCAATATGTAAACTCAAATTATGCTGTTAATTTTAGTATTATACACTAAATTGTAGTCATTGGTCTCTAAATGCTTAAGCTGTACGGCGTCCAAAACCAGTTGTTGTTCTTCAAGCTTTTATTCTAATCAACAGTTAAATGCAATATAAAACAATTCTCTGAGATATTTTGATCAATTTATTATTGTTGTTGTTGTTGTTGTTGTTAATGGTGTCATTATTTATTTGGGATGGAATGATACATGAAGGGACGAAGGCGTGTTTATCCTACGGAAAACAGGAAGACAATGCAGGCGAGTTTCACGACGAAATACGCGAATTCCTTGGTTCCCGGACTAACGGACATCGCTAAACAAATATCGGCGTCGACCGGGTGATGCATTGATAAGGAAAGAGAGAAGATTGTGAGGTACGAACTCGACATGGCATTGGTGTTATCAGCCGAAAGGTTTCGCTTGGAGCTGTGCCTTGAAACACAAGCTTCGAGTGACTGTTAACCATGACTATGTAGGCAAGTCCAAAAGTTATTCAACTAATGACGATCACCGAAATACAATGCTGATAAACCATGAGCTGGAAACTAGGAAACCGAAAAGGGATCCTAAAAGAAGCAAAACGGAAGCCGGCCGCTGAGCAGGAGCGGTGGACGTACCTAAGGAAAGCTTATACCAGGAGGGAGTTCTGAGATGATGGTTGATGATGAAACATTGTTAAGTGAACTGGGAAGTTATGTTTCATGTCTTGAGTTACATGTGAATGTTCTTATTTCCATGCTTCAAATTGATTAATTTTCCACTGGGGCATGTAATGAGCATTTGTCTATTTTATTCATGAACTTCCCCTCTACATTCATACAGTTCTGCAAATTTTCTCGGATCATTAATTTTTTTACATCTTCGACTATCGCGTTTCGTTGACATCTTTCGATATTTACTTGCGGAGGAAGCCACCTTTAGGGCTATATAAAATGCTCCACCACTCACCTTATAAGTGGTATCAGAAGGTACTCTGCATAAAAGAGCTGCAAGGAGAAATCAATTAGTTATTGAAGATGAACAACAAAAGTCTCAAACATTTTGATTTTGACAAACACAAACTCGAAGAACTCGGTAATGTTGGACACAAACATATGAAAGGGGTCATTTAAACATGATTAACACGATATGTTTAACTCACGTCGTATTCGTGTTTAAGATTTAACTGAAACATTAACATGAAGATTATACTTTTCCCAGACAAGCAGGGTTAGCCATATTTGTCATGCAAATGCAATATTAAAGACTACCTTCCAAATAAAACTGTAACATGATGTTAATGCAGCTTTGCTCTTCAAATCGACGGATTTGACACGGATCCATAAAACTGCAGCCAAGATGGAATGCCCCAAAACCTAGTTCCGTTTCATGGAGAAACGATTGTACATCAGTCCTTGCTCAAATAACAGATGTAGTGACAGTAAACACTATATTTCTTTAAACAAAGAAACGGAGAAATGTCGAAACATTCAACGAGTAATCTTGAATACATACAGTAATGACATTGCTCCAGGTGTAGGAAGAAGTTGCTCCAACCAAAACAGAAACACCATAGGCCATTTCAAGAAGTGAAATACAGGTCCAAAACACCTGCGGAAGTAAAATCGAGAAGTGAAATATAGGCCCTATGAACTCTCGATGCGCTTGAACTCATCCGTTCTTGACCGAGACGTACTGTGTAAGATTTGATTCCGAATATTTTATCTCCTTCAATATCAGGTATATTCTGCGCAATATCCATCACAAACATAGAACAGACTCATGAATTATTAAATAAGTTGTAGGACTAAAATCAAACAACAATAAGAAGATAAGGAATTCATCAGTATAGTGAGCAACATTTACCTTAAACAGTGCTATAACTACTGAGAAGAAGCTCATGAACGCAGTAGCAAAAATTAGAGGCTTCGAAAAGACAGCCGCTCTGCTTAATACATGGGTCTGAAACATCAACGTTTCAAGCACTATCAGACTTTTAAGAAGAAACATCAACGTTTCAAAATGATTTTCTGCAGGTGAACAGGGAGGCACCTTTTTTTGGACCATGAAATATATATATACGTGTCAGTGTGTGTGTGTGTGTGTGCAGATAAAAGGCAAGTTGAACGATCACAGCTCGAACAGCTAGGATGCACATTGCTGCAACCAAAGCAAACCTTTTCCATCGCAATTGCGGCAGCTGAAATTACAGGAAGTTTACAGTATCATCTAAAGAAAACTACTGTTAAATATCATTAAGCCAGGCCATATCAATGTTTTTTTGTAACTTACTATGGTATTTATATAATAATGATGCATGATATAATTTTTGCTTCATGTATCCATTTGATGGGAAACTCACAGTTCAACTCACACTGTAGTCTTCCTCCGCAGCAGGCTTCCGACAAAAACTGTTGTAAATACGACTCTGTTTAAAACCTGATATGATTTTAAACCTTCTTTTAAAATCTCAAATATTTAGATGGTTGTGCTTTGTTTGTGTTCCTCGAATTAAGAAGGACAAATCAGCTAAAAGGAGGAAGCAAGGGTCTTCTTTAGCTGCAATACAGTATCTAAAGCCTTTAGAATTTTTCAACCAAACATTAAAAAAGCTTTGATAAGCAATGTGTTCATTTTATGGAGAATAAAGGGTGGAATTGTGTGATACTTTTGCTCCTATTGCTAGACTCGATATGATCAGGTTGTTATTTTCAGTAGCTGCGTAAAAGGGATAAAAAGCCTATCAACTTGAGATTTTTTAATGGTTTTTTGGACGAAGAAATCTATGTCGGACAACCTTAAGGTTTTACTGTGAAAGGGTATAAAAATGATGTGTACATACTCAATAAGGCATTGTATGACTTGAAACAGGCTCGAAGAGCTTGGTATAACAGAATTAATAAACACTAAATACAACTGGATTTCAAAAGAAGTCTCAACGAAGTTACCCTCTACAATCTATATCAAAGGTGATGAAATCAATTTTGATGTTATTTCTTTATATGTAGATGGAATATTGGTCACACGAAACAATGAAAATTTTGTGAATTTTTTTTTAAAAAAATATGAAGAAAATCTTAATTATTATATTTAATTATTTAAATTACAACCAAGTTTATTCAAACAAATATTGACAAAAGGAGATTCAAATAATAGAGAAAGAAAAGCCCTGCAAGATAAAAGTGCATAATCTTTCATTCTTATGTAAATACATGAACTTCTTGCAATTGTATGTGCATATCAAGCTACCTTGTCGATCTCAATCTCAGACAACTGATTTAGACCAACAATATAAATATTCATCATAAGGGCAGCACCCACGGCCTGGAAAAAAAATAAACAACAGATATAAGCATTATAACTACTAATTTACAAATGAGTACTTAAAAAATGATACATAAGTTAACATGTTTAGTATTTAAATCATTAATTTTGGTTCGTTTTATTACCTAATTTTTTAATTTTTTAAAATTTAACGTTAATTTTAAACATACAATAAAATAAATAAAAATTAAACTTTAAATATGATTTTAAAAAAAATTAAAAGATCAAATATTAAAACAAAACTAATAATATAGATACTTAAACGTGTATTTTTTGCTAAAATTTAGTTACAAAATTAATACACCACAAAATTTAGTGTCTAGGGAAAAAGGGAAGTGCAAAGCGGAAAGAAAGAAAAAGCAGGAGTGATCGTCATCGTGTCGGAGTTAGGATTTGGAGCATCCGAAAGAGGAATGAGCGGAGAAGAAGGCGGCGGCGACGACGCGGCTGCTAGTAACAATTCTGCAACAAAGCCATCGGCAGAGGAATTGCAGGCCATCGGAAGCCTTAAAGATTCGAAAGACTCCGCCATTCGCTCTGCTCGTTCCCTTCTCCATAACTCGTCTACCCATCTACGCTCTTTCCAGGTTTCTTATTTTTTTCTTATCATCTAATAATTACAATACTCGTAATAATTTAATGTCATATCATGTAATAACCTAGGAATTTTTTTTAAATGATTTTGATTTTTTGGGGTTTTGCAGGATTTTCTACCGCAAGCATCTTCCCATTACAAATCTTATGAAGATGCATTTTTCAACAAACTCAAAGGTTTTTACCTTTTTATCTTTCGTTTCAATTGATTTTTTGATGTTTTTATAACTGGATGGTTAGTAATCTTTTCTTTAATTGCAAAAAAAAAAAAAAGAGGGGGTGATGAGTGCAAAGGAACACCCAGGCGCAGCTGTTGGGATTACCATTACTGCTGCTCTCTTTCTTATGCGAGGTTTGTTCTTTCCTGATTGTCATTTCTCACTCGACAATTTCCTGCAACAACACTGAACTCTTCTCTGATCTGAAAACCAATGAAGAAAACAATATTTTCAGCATTGTTGCTTTGATGTAGTATAAACAATTGAGGTTCGTTGTCTATAAGATTTTGTTTGTGATTCTAACATCTTTTATTCATAGTTGTCATTCTTTTTTTTTTTGTCTATTGAAATGTGTTATTTAGATGCCGTTTATTAGTTTATGGTTGTGATCAAATTGGTAAAACTAGTTAGCGTTGTTAGAAGTTATGCTTGTGAGGTAACATAATCATTCTGTTGTTGTTAGTAAGTCTGCTCAGGATTCTTCTTTGGCAATTTTGAACGATGGGCTTTCACCATCTTGCTTTTCCAATAGCTGTTAAATATGCTGGTCTCTTTTGTTCATATATTGTTCAGAAGCCATTTTGTGCCTTATAAATCAGACTTAGAATCATCCCCCCCCCCAAAAAAAAAACCTAACTTGCAATAATTAACTAGAAGTTGCAATGTATATATATTTTTAAAGGTTCATTAAGTTTGGCCTAAGATTTAAGATTTTTCATGTCCTGTGATGATTTGTACTTCTTGGTTTATGAGGCTAAGTTTCATTGATTTTTGCTGCGTTACATCCTTCTTGTGACTCTGTTTTCCCTTCTTTAGATCTCATGTGCAAGTTATAAATGAAAGTATCGAGTGTCTTTATGTCCTTCCATTTGACATCTGTGCCCAACTTTCAGTTTAGTTTGATTTTTAACTTTAATGCAAACTGATGCGGTGTATTTATTGCAGGCCCAAGAAGGTTTCTATTCCGTAATACATTGGGTCGATTTCAAAGTGTGGAGGTAACTACCCTGTTAATATGATAGAAGTTTCCTTTACTCTAGAACTATTTGGTGAATGACCTTCCATTTTGAATTCTTTCCTAAGCCTAAGCAAAAACCTCAGGTTATAGAGATTATGCGTCTTGATTTAAGGTTTGACTCTAAGCTCTCATATACATTGCATTTGTGCTAAACTTTCCTGCAGGCAAAATTTCTTAGGACCGAGAAGAATGTAAAAGAGTTAAGTCTATCTGTTGATGTAATGAAAAAGGAGAGCTCTAAGCTGCTTGAAAGGGCAGCTCTTGCTGAAAAGGATATGAAACGTGGCCATAAAGAGCTCATGTATGTAGTATGAACTTCTTTTATGTTATGGTTCTAAATTATCATTAATTTTATTGTTTAACTAGTTGTATGTGTAGGAATGCTGGAGGCCAATTTCACCGTCTTGCAAAATCAGTTTACAAGGTTGAGGCTGAAGCTGCAGGTATGGTCAAAAGTCACCTTTCCTTTATATATGAGTGTATATATGGATTGTCATCCTTTGATAAACAGTTGTTGCCATGTTGGGCCCTTTCGGAAGCCTTAGCTGAATTTGATTTCCCGTATATATAGTTTGTCATTATTTACGTTTAATGACACTGGTGTTTTCAAACATTCTGTTCCCTCTGGCCTCCCCTTTTCTCTCTTCTTAATACAGCTAAGAAGGATGTTCATAATAGGAAGTTTAGAAACTCAAATTTTGCATAAATGATTCTAGCATGCGCTACAACGTCTTCTCTCTGATACTGCCATTTAGACAATATAGTTCTGTAGGCCGACATTAGCACTTAGATTGGACTGTAGTCAAGCATGTTACTTGCACTTGGTATCAACATTAAGAAGCACCTTGCGTTTCCAATTGCCATTCTTATCCACACATGTGGCATGAAGTCTTGCCATTTTTAGGTCAAATACGGGTTAAAGAATGTGAACTAGTGGAATCTACTGATTGTTTTGAAATTTTACGGGATGATATTGCATCTTTACAATTACTTTAATGTTGTCTATAGATTTGATGGATGGGCTGCGAGAAATCCCTGGCAGGGAGGCACTGAAACTACGAGCAGAGGCAAGTCGTGCATTTTCTTTATTATCTTTGCAGTGCTTTTGCAGTTCTCGATCAGAATTTTACCGACGGTGCGTGTTGATGTCGTTACGGAATAACATTTATTTTAGGTTGCTTCGATGACATCGCATTTGAGGAAGCAGAGAGTTTCACTTGACAAAAGGATAAGGAAGGTATCCGAATTGGGGGTACCTGTCTGATAACTTTGGCAAAGTCTCCTGTTATTAAAATTGATGTTTTGGAAGGATCTCTGAACTGGTGCCTGCATTTTCTAGATACAATGTTACTCGTAGAGCTTCAACTTAATTCGGCCAAAATAATAATACGAGTACAATTGAATTATGAGACATAAATTCATTTTCCCCCTTCGTTTTTTGCCATATATGCGTTTAGATCATGGAAAATTGAATGTATTTAAACCGAATTTTCTTCGTTTTAAGTGTTTAGGAGGATTATTGATGACATATGTATGTAAGTGTTAAAGGTTGCATCAGAAATTGCTGTTCTTCCTTGATGGTCTAATTTTGAGCACAATGAATGCTACGATGTGAGCATTTAATGTCAAACGGTCAAGAATTATCCTTGAACATGTATTATCTTGTACTTACTCAAATTAGACATACCTAGATTAATAAAACAAAAGCGTTAAAGCTTATACAAAATAAATTATTCATCAAAACAAAAGTGTTAATGTTTATGCAAAATAAATTATTCATCAATTGGTTGTGGGTGAAATGGAAAGTAAATTGTACACGAAAAGAGTTATCCCTTATTTAATCCTCAAATAGAATTTTAGTTCAATATATTGAAAGATTATATAAAATTATGAAAGACAAATACACCATAATCATATATCTGTTAATATTAAAAGAAGTCCCCCCCCCCCCCACAAATTGACATGGTATTCGACTAAACATAATTAAAAAAATATTAAATGAAAAGAGATTTTCAAAAATGTCAACATCACATAATTTTATTGTTAAAAATTTATAATTTAATTATTGAATCATATATTTTTAAAATGAATTAACTCAAATTATTAGAATTTCCTTCTTTTGTGCTTGAATTAACAAAAAGTTCTCAAATACATCAATATCGCATATGATTCAATTATTTTTAATTACTTTTAATTTAAAATAAATTCATTAGAATTTAATTATCTTTTTTACGCTTGTATTAACTTCAATTATGCAAGTTTTCACTTTTAAGTTGCAAAAATGAGGTCAAAATATTTGATGATTGTACATAAGAAATAGTAATGTAAGTAAAACGAGATAGATTCAAAGCTAGAAATAATGCGAAAAATAATAATAAAAGTTTAGTAGATATATAAGAAAGGGCTGATATAATCACGTAGTAGTAACAAGAGGATCATAGCAGCCAAATACAAGGGAATCGTTGATCAACTATGTATAGGATGGAGGCTTGGGCAATCCCTTGACGATGCCGCATAGTAGAGCGTTGCCGGGGATGTTGTACTCATCCCTCAGTGATCTTTCGGGGGATAGAATGCTGGCGTAAAGCTGTTGGCCCAGGTACGCCCTCTCCCATCTCTCCGACTTGATATTCCACATGCCCGCGTTGTCGAACGTCAAAAGGATTGCTGCCCATGACTTTGGGAACACCTGTATGGCGTGCCTGCTCACTGCGTCAAGAAGGTTATAGTTCATCCTCTTCTTCGGACTCCATGTCCCTGGTTCGACGGCCACCGCAAAGAACGAATACCCGTCGATGTGGTATGACTGTATGCTTTTCTCGTGGTTCTCGAATATGATCTCCACGAAGTTACGGAATGTCATGTTGAGTACATCTGGTTGCACGCTGAGGTCTCTCGTGTTTTTCTGGCTCATCCTTGATTATGTAGTATTTGAAAACCTTGTACGCCATGTTAAAGTATTCCGCCAACTTCAGTGGGGTAGTTGGGTCTGTATGGGAGACACCGTTAAAGCCGTAGCGAAGCTTACCGTTGTCTCTGCTAACACTGTTCACCAGCCTGATGGTACGAGTGATGTAAATAGCACCATGGTGGTAGGATCCCTGAGGATTTAGCCTTGCAGCACTGGCAGTGAGATTCCACCGGAAGGTGTGGAATTGATTCATTGACCAAGCCCAACAGGGGCCGGAGGAAGCTCAGGTGAGGCTTCTCCTTTGCTATTGGTGTGGCTAATGATGGCAGTGCCAGTCTGCACTTCCTTCAGAAATCGGGTGGACGCTACAATGTAGTAGTTCTTAGGGGCTTGGTCGGCAGTCACAAGCACCGTAAAACACTTTCCGATATGTACATCCAAGGAATCGTACACGTTCTGAACGGTGTGGGAACCCTCTATTTCCACAAGTTTCATGGTGTATATGTCTTCACATGGAACGTCACCTACGGCACCATCTCTCCGTTGGGATTTGCTCAGCAACTCATTCTCATCAATGGTGAATTCCCAGGCCTCGATATTAACTCCACTACCAATAATATGTTTTCGTCAATGTCTTTAACCATCTTGATGAGCCCTTCCTCTTTACATGGTATGCTATTTTCACATTATATGCATTCTACATATCTCACTAATTATGTATCATTCAGTGATTGTTTTCATATTTTTATCTTCAGGAGTGGAATCCAGCAGAGGAAAAATTCATGGGAAGATGGAGTGCCCGGAACCAACTGTCCCATTGCCCTAGGAACCAACTTCACATACAAGTTTCAGGTGAAAGACCAGATTGGTAACTACGTCTACTATCCGTCTATGGGAATGCATAGGGAGACTGGTGCTTTTGGAGGTCTTAGGATCCACAGTCGTGTGCTCATTCCTGTTCACTATGATGAACCCGCCAATGATTATACTGTTCTCATTGGCGACTGGTACACCAAGAGCCACAAGGAACTCTGGGGCTTCTTAGACAGCGGTCGTCCTTTAGGCAGGCCTGATGGGGTTCTCATTAATGGGAAATCTGGTAAAGTTGGAGCCAAACAGGAACCGTTGTTCACCATGGAGCCTGGCAAGAAATACAAGTACATGGTTTGCAATGTTGGACTCAAGGCCTCCCTCAACTTTAGGATCCAAGGCCACACCATGAAACTTGTGGAAATGGAGGGTTCCCACACCGTTCAGAATGTGTATGATTCCTTGGATGTACATATCGTACAGTGTTGTACGGTGCTTGTGACTGCCGACCAAGCCCCTAAGGACTACTACATTGTAGCGTCCACCTGATTTCTGAAGGAAGTACAGACTGGCACTGCCATCATTAGCTACACCAATAGCAAAGGAGAAGCCTCACCTGAGCTTCCTCCGGCCCCTGTTGGTTGGGCTTGGTCACTGAATCAATTCCGCACCTTCCGTTGGAATCTTACCGCCAGTGCTGCAAGACCAAATCCTCAGGTATCCTACCACTACGGTGCTATTAACATCACTCGTACCATCAGGCTGGTGAACAATGTTAGCAGAGCCAACGGTAAGCTCCGCTACGACTTTAACGATGTCTCCCACACCGACCCAACCACCCCACCGTTGGAATCTTACCGCCAGTGCTGCAAGACCAAATCCTCAGGTATCCTACCACTACGGTGCTATTAACATCACTCGTACCATCAGGCTGGTGAACAATGTTAGCAGAGCCAACGGTAAGCTCCGCTACGACTTTAACGATGTCTCCCACACCGACCCAACCACCCCACTGAAGTTGACAGAATACTTTAACGTGGAGAATAAGGTTTTCAAATACAACATGATCAAGGATGAACCGGAAAACACTACAGACCTCAGCGAGCAGCCAAATGTACTCAACATGACATTCCGTAACTTCGTGGAGCTCATATTTGAGAACCACGAGAAAAACATCCAGTCGTACCACATCGACGGGTATTCGTTCTTTGCGGTGGCCGTTGAACCAGGGACATGGAGTCCGGAGAAGAGGATGGACTATAAACTTCTTGACGCAGTGAGCAGGCACATCATACATGTGTTCCCAAAGTCATGGGAAACAATCCTTTTGACGTACGTTCGACAACGCGGACATGTGGAATATCAGGTCGGAGAGATGGGAGAGGACGTAGGGTCAACAGCTCTACGCCAGCGTTCTATCCCCCGAAAGATCACCGAAGGATGAGTACAACATCTCCGACAACGCTCTACTATGCGGCATCGTAATGATTTTATGTTTAACAAGAAATCAATTAATATGAGAGACGCCATATTTGATTCTAAACTTGAGCTTTGGTTTGGTTAAAATAAGAAAATGGTAAGCATGTGGTCAACATGTATGAGTTTGGGTGCTGCTCTTTCATTTTTTTTCCATGGGAGTTGATTGTATGATTTTGAATTGTATTATTTGTTGGGAAGCCTCTCCTCTTTGTTTCCCGAAAAAATATATTATTTTCCTCCGTTAAAGAAAGAATTTTTAATGAGGTATTTTTCTTGAGTTTCGTTGGTAGTAAAAATATCGGCAAAACTCACGAGATATTGCTATGAAAAAAAATAATTCACGTGATAATGTTGTCCAAGAAATAATTGTTCAAATGGTGTGAATTATACAGTGCATGGATTGGTCGCCATGCAAGCCAAACTAGATCATAGGTCGCCATACACTCGGTGCGACCTTGTAGGTCGCCATGCAAATGGCTCGAATTCCTCCGTGATTCTGCTGAAATCACGACAAAGGTGGCTCTGCCTCCCTCACCCTTGTCTCCCTCATGCATGCAGCTATGAAATCACGATAAAAGTGTTCTATACGAGTTGTGGCGAGAGGATGAAGCTTTGCTACGAGCTGTGGCGAGAGGATGAAGCTTTGCTACGAGCTGTGGCGAGAGGATGAAGCTTTGCATGCGCCATGCACGTCGGAAGAGGTCGCCTGTATGCAGTGGGGAGCAAGCGAGCATGCAACAGGGAGCAAGGCGCAGGACAAGGTCGCCCAGCGTGCATGGCGACCTACCATGTCGCCCAGCGTGCATGGCGACCTACGGCCAATACTGTGCAATTCGTCCTATTTGAGCAATTAATTTTGGGAGTACGTTATATCCTTAAATAAAAAATTCGATAACGTTATCTCGAAAGTTTTGCCTAAAAATATCTTTAATCAAGTATAAAAATCAAAATATAAAGCACTGAAGTGTGTCACACGTATCAGAGTGTTACTCATACCTTTATTAACTCGTATTGAAGCTATCATAACTCTAGATTTAATACAAAAATAAGTATCCAAACTTTGCTTCTAAAAACGTTTTAGTGTCTAAATAATTTTTCATTAAAAATAGGTGTCTAACATTTTCTCAGTTATACTTTTAGATGTCTACCGTTTATTTTTTTAAATTTTTTAATAATAAAAATATTATTTTAATTAAAAAATATATTAAAAAATTTATTTATAAAAAACACAATTTTTACTGAAA